CCTCTTAGGCTCAGATTCATTGTACAGTACATTCGGATCGAATATGGTATGTACCGTATTCGTATCCACTTGCTCATTAGAAATACAAATATAGTTTGCTACGTGAAACTCATACTTCATATCCGTCAAAGTGAAATACGAAATGAATCAAATGAGGGAAAATAAACGGATATAAGGAAAATTGATAAGAGCAAAAAAATATATAGGCATGCATCACGATTAGAAACTTGTTTGAATATAATAGAGGTCCCAATGAAAACCAATTGAAAAGCTAAGATTACATTCTGGATCATCAAAATTGGTTTACACGTAAATCTATTAATCTAAAAGTAAAAAATAATCGCAACTACATGATCGATGGGTACTTAATTTCGAACTCGAATATATTTTAGTCATAGCTAAACGTTCTTTAAATCTCAAGCAAGTAGATATATGTCAACTTTTGTCGAATCACTTTGTTTGTTTAGAATATTAGTTCCGTTGCATCTGTGTAAAAGTGAAGAAGTGGGTTTATAATTGAAAAAGAAACTCAACATGGAAGTGTATTTATACTGTCGAATTTAGATTCTATGATCCTCATATACCCTTATCGGGTCTGCAACCCGAAGCCCGAGCATAATGAGCTATAGCTTGAGCTTTACCATGACCAGGGGTGTCCAAAAAGCCCGCCGGCCCGGGGCACCGGGGCCTGACAGCGGCCGTCGGCCCGGAAATCCGGGCCCAAGTCCGCGGCTCCGCGGCTGGGCCCGGGCAGTCTATTCTGGTGCGCTGGCCCGCCCCGGCCGGCCGCGAATATTATTTTTTTATATGTATTATATATGTATAAGATATGTTATTATAAATATATATAATATGTATACATAAGATGTATATGATATATTTTTTATATATTTTATATAGTATAATATAGCATATATATAATATATGTTATATATAATTAATTTCTATATATGCTATTATATGTCATATGTGTGTACTATATATTAACTCTCTCTTAGTATATAAGTATACTATAAGATTACTCTCTGCTTATATATGATAATGTATGTATGTATGTATATATATACTCTCTCTCTTAGTAATATATGTATAATATTAAAGTATCTCTCTCTTATATATTATACAGTATACTCCCTCTTATATAAGTTATACTCTCCTCTTATATATGTATAATTGTGTGTGTGTGATATACTCTCTCTCTCTCTTCTCTTAGTATATAAGTATATATATGTAATAGTATATTACAAACGGCTATTTTGGCCCAACGGGCAACGGCTACTTATATGCGATTCTCTCTCTCTCAAGTTATAACTTATAAATATATACAATATATTTACATATAATATATGTATATATAATATATAGTTACATAATAATTTGTAAGTATATAGTAATACATAATTATATAAAATATAATAATATTAAACTAATTTTTAGTATTTTTTTATAAAAAAAAGAAAAGAAAAGAAATTTTAAAAAACCTAGTTGGGATGTACTTATCTATTGTGATGCGATGAGTTCCAAATTAAATTTATACTTGTAATTTGTAAATAATTTATTAATTATTAATAAAGAATTTATTTTTATAATTTTTTATTTGTAATTTATGTCATTTTAAGTGATTAATAAAATTATTATTTTTTATTAATTTTTTTGTCTTTTTTTGTATAATTTAAAATTTAAATAAAACTAAAAAAAGAAAATAAACCGGGCTGGCCCGGAACCCGGCCCGGACCCGGCCCGAGGTACCTGGGTCCGGGTTCCGGTTTTGCTCAGCCCAGACCCGGATTTCAAAGTATGAAGAGTGAAACATGATAACAAATTAACGAAAAGATAATTTAGTGGGGATAACCGATCGAAAGGGAAATAATTGAGATCTTTGGCTTCGCTAGAAAAATTAAGATGAATAAAACAGCCTATACACATGGGCAGTGGTCCTAGATTGTCTTAAACTAATTTTTAAAATATTTAAAATAAAATAAGATAAAAATACAACCTGTATTGCAGTTCTGTCACCCATATGTTGTGATACTCTCAGTGCTTAGGTTAGGTTCCGCATACTGATGCTCTCAGTGCTTAGGTTACTTTAATAGGAAGTTGACCTCAATATCGGATAGCTTAAATGTTTGGGTTTTGATTTTAGTCCCTATTTAAGATCCATTTAACTCCTAGTTAAACCTAATTTCTCATGAACAAGTGCTATCAGAATCAAGATTGTGATTTAAGAGAAAGTGAAGCCCTTATTCGCTTAGCTTGTTTACTCCCATATGAGAACCATCTCCCATGATTGCTTGCTTCGATGAAGTCAACTGCACTAAAATCTAGTTATCTCATGAGTATATACATAGGCGTAGCCAGCATATGTTAGATCTGAATCATAAAACTTGAGATCTAAAACCATAAAGCCATTGATTAATTCGAAGAGATTAAAAAGAATCATAAAGAGCGGAAGCTTATACCTGAATCCATAGATGAATCTTGAGATGGGTTTTGGATCTTCTAACCTTAGGGTTTTCTCTATAGCCGAATTTCTCTCTAGATGGGGGTGAAGAGAATTAGAGAATGTAACCCTAGGTTAGGGACCATAACCCCTTATTTATAGATGTCTAATAACTTACACTAAACTCTCAACAAACCTAGATCTACCCTAACAAGCAAAAATTAGGATATATAAGCAACGCTAAAACGAGTGAGTGTTTATAAGTGCAAGTTTTGAAAACTCCATTAAGAGTATATAAGTGCTGACACAAACAAGTGAGGGTATATAAGTGCAAAATAGAGAAAACTAGACGATATTTAAGTGCAATTAAGCCATTCGAAATTAGTCACTCAAATCATTTAAATTGCTACTACATCCTCCGAAGTATCCTAATTTGTAAATTCAATGATTCAAGGGTGGGAGTCAACAGGGACTACCATCGCAACAATACTAGCAAATACTTTGCATAAACCCTAGAAACCCCCCACCGCCGCCTCTTTTGGCACCGCCGCCTCTTTTGGCACCGCCGCCGACGCCACCGTCAGCGCCTCTGCCGACTAGATTCCAAGTCCCCCGCCGCCGTCGAGCTCTGTTCCAATCTCCGTCGTTGCTTCTCTCAAAAGGTACTCTGCTTCCCTCTTTGTTAACTTCTGTCCTGGTTCAATTTGTAGCTGTAGATTCGCCCTAGACGCTTTTAGGGTTTGAATTCATTCTTTGTTGGTATACGATCAGATTGTGTTTGTTTGGGTAGACCCCCTAGAGGAACTCAAGTTTGAGTTTATATTGAAACCTCTAGAGGTCTGAATTTTGTCAACTATTATTCATGAATATTTATATATATATTAAAAATTCACACATGTGCAATTTCGCGTAATCCGATCAGTTGTCGCATAATCTGATTAACCATGTTTTTAAAACCTTGCCACTTACATCCTAACATGATATGCATGTTTAAATTCTAAGTTTCTTGTTGTTCTTTTCTGCTAAATCAGAGTGAGCGTCGAAGATATGAGAATGTGTATATGGAGCAGCATTTAGGTTAAATATGGGGTAACTTACAATGAGTTCGTCTGTGTGGATCGTGTTAGATCTAAATCAAAACTTGAGATCTAAAACCATATAGCCATGATTAATTCAAAGAGATTAACAATAATCAAAAGAGCGGAAGCTTATACCTGAATCCATGGATGAAATCTTGATTTGGGTTTTTGATGATCTTCTAACCTTAGGGTTTCTCTAAATCCGAATTTCTCTAGCTAGATGGGGGTGTAGAGAATTAGAGAATGTAACCCTAGGTTAGGGACCATAACCCCTTATTTATAGATGTTGTACTTTTGTAATTTGGCCCCTCAACAAATCACAATTACAACCTGGTATCTGCACATATAACCCCATGACTTATTTAAATACCCATTAACCCAACTTGATTGATCACTTTAGTGGGTTATCCTGAAAGATAGCAATACACATTGATTAATCATATGTACCCACAAATAGATTTATTAGATTAAATCCAACAATCTCCCACTTGGGCACCATATGACTCCTTAAATTGTGTATAACCTTATGAGCTTAAAAAATTACTATCACTGAAAAGGTATTTCCGAACAATCTCGTCCATTGACTATATCAATATAGGATCAAAGCGGCCTTCGTCACATTTATCGTGACTCAACCCATCAATGGTCACATATACCAATACAATCAAACGACATAGATCAATCATGGATGTGCAGCATAAAAATTACATGCAATGTGATCAGTACATGTCTATTTTCAACTGGTCCTCCTTAGTGAGGTCAAAACCAAACATAATGTAACAGAGTGTCTTAACTGAATACTTTATTCTGATCAGACAATACAACCAAACATAAAGCACCACAAATACAAACTCCCACTAAAACATAATATCCTCAAATAATACCACACCCATATGAGCAGTATGCTCATGAAAGACCTTAGGTGGCAGTCCCTTAGTAAGAGGATCAGCTATCATGGAGTTTGTCCCAATGTGCTCTATGGATATCTGTCCACTCTGTACCCTTTCTTTCACAACCAGGAACTTAATGTCAATATGTTTTGACTTAGTTGAGCTCCTGTTGTTATTGGAATACATTACTGCAGATTTATTGTCACAATATAACCTTAGTGGTCTTTCAACATTTTCCAAAATGCGCAGTCCCGTGACAAAATTTCGCAGCCATATTCCCTGATTGGATGCCTCATAGCAAGCTACAAATTCTGCTGCCATAGTGGAGGAAGCTACTAGTGTTTGTTTGACACTTTTCCATGATATAGCTCCTCCTGCT